CCCCTCGCCCTCAGTCTCAGTCTCTCTCACAGAGATGACTTTTGTTGACTTTGTCGTGTTACATTTTTTCAATCCATAAATAATGAACAACAACAACAGAAGTGAACAATGATCACGGACGACAGAGTCAGGGACGAACGTCTGCAACTACATTGTGTTCTTCCTGTTGGACATTTGAAAGCTCTTCTCTAAAATATTACCCAGAATCCAACAGCCCCCGGTGACTCAGACAAAGACATGAATTTTCTGAAAGGACTATTTTTAGAAACAAGTTCACTTCAATAAAAATGTGGAGGCTGAAGGATGATTTAAAGTCACATGTCTCGCTCCAATCTGTGCTTGCTGTGATTAACGAGGCCGCTGTAACAGGACGTCCCGGCAAGACAACACACAAAACACACAAAAACACACTATTAGCTCTGTACTTATGACTTCATCCATTCAAATTCCTGCGTTTTGCTGTGATACGATTGGATGGAGTCTAGACGGGGGCACAGCGGGACTACAGGGAGCACATAACAGGGGCTGCTGGGTAATTATGTGAACGGAGCGCGGCCTTATCAAACATCCCAAAATAACCTGCTGATACGAGCCGCTGCACATAGCGTCGCTGCCGTGATAAAAAACGCTTTTGTTCTCAAACCTAATGCAGACGATCATCCGCGGCCTTCTCACGCAGAGGTCAGAAAAGTGATGAAAAAAACACATTTCAGCAAAAAACACAGCGGGAACTCGGGAGTGTGTATGTGTGTGTGTGTGTGGTGAGGCAACCGTCCAATAGGGTTAGAACCAGACAGATAAAAATAGAAAGTCACGTGTTGATTGTTTATGCAAAGCAGATCAGGACATAATGTTATTACATCAAGGTAATAGACTCAGTAGGCACAGGGGGCGGAGCATCGGAAGTTTATATTCAAAAACATGGCCGCCACAACATTTAGCATTTATCATCTGGACCAAAACAATTGTGTTTCCTGAGCCTGGCCTGTAGGGGGCGCATGAGCAGAGGTGGGACAGTGTTGCTCCCATTGAAAACCATGTAAAGTCTGTTTTGGATTCAAAGGCTCTCCTCCTGTGCGGTGTACGGTTGTTGGAACAGTCTTAACCGGGAACACTCAATTCTAAGGCAGCACTAACAAATATTTCTCAAAAGAGCTTGATTTTGGGCATTTTTGGGGAAAAAAAACTGAAAAAATGGCTGCGTTTCATTGGGGTGGCCTGCAGGGGGCGCTTATCTGGGAAAACCTTGATCCACCTCCGCCTCATTCCAGTGATTTTTCAAAGTGTCCTCCTTTATATGAGACACAGTTGGAACATGAACAAACTCTGGTCTTTCTCTATTTGTGCGGTTGCTACAAGCGTACACCGCACACAAAGATGCTTCTTCTTCTACTATATCTCCGTGTATAAACCACTTCTTCTTCTACTATATCTCTGTGTATAAACCACTTCTTCTTCTACTATATCTCTGTGTATAAACCACTTCTTCTTCTACTATATCTCTGTGTATAAACCCGGCAGACTGCAGCGCCAGGATACGTCACGTCCTGTCCCACGCCTGTTATTCACCACTGCCCTGACGTCAGATGGAACCCAAGAATTTGTAAGATTTTGTCTAGTCCTCATTAAAAGGGCCCTAACCTCAACCATCTCCAGTTTTAGTAAAAACCACATCAGACGATGGTTCTTAACAACCTGATTAGTATGTTTTGTCAGGTCATTGCTGGAGTTAGACCCAGAAACTTGCACTCCAGTGTTTTCCAACCAGTGAGATGGTGTTTGTGTGTCTTTAGTAATGATCCAATCCCACCTACTTGGCCAAAATAATGTGAAAAGATCAGAAAGAGTTTTGTATGTTTGATTTTCTGCATAATTCACTTTGATAAGAATGACTTTGTGATGGTGTGCCACGGCTCAAAAAGATTGGGGAACACTGGCCTCCTCTTCCATCTGCACAAGCTAGCCATCAATAACAACAAACAAAAACCCCCTCCTGCCCTGAAGCTGCCTGTGTTTACCAGATACTACCACAAAACCGAGTCCAGACCAGTCCTCTCACCTTCGGCGGAGAGAGTCCAGCAGCTGGGGGCCCCGTCGGTGAGGTGGGCGCCCTGAGGCAGCGACAGTGTGAGGGACAGAGTGAGGGTCTGCCCCGCGCTGACCTCCACCGCCGCCATGTGCTTCCTGACCGCAGACTTGGGCAGAGCCGGAGCCTTGGGCGGGCCGGTCGAGCGGGTGGGGATGGCGTCGGTGCAGTCGGTGGAGATGGGAAACTGCAAAAGAGTTTTAGAAATGTGTAAAAGTAAAAACCTTCTGGTCTCATGTGTCCAGGACCCAGAGATGTCAGTGTTATGGTCCACAGAGCAAGCAGAATGTAGAAGAAGCCCATTTGAACATAAGCTAGCTAGAGCCAATTTCCTTATATGGGCATTTGATCCGACAGGGTTAGCTTTGCGTCATAACAGGGTCAGACGTGTTGCTAAGGTGGTTGCTAAGGTAAGATGAACAGAGACCTCTGATTGGTCAGTAAGTCGCTCATGGATGATTCACTTAACTCACGGACTGCAGCCGTTTCTGATGATTTCACCGACTTTCAAGACCCACAGAATATCATGTGTTAGGACTATGTGAAATATGAAACCAGATTCTGAAAGATTGGACTGTCTACTTTCATCAGCAAATATATGTTGGTTTCAAGCTAGTTTTGTTCTCCTGTAATTGCCAGTCAAATAGACGGAAGTTTGACAGAAAAATCACCGTCTCAGATAAATACGGCAATGGCAGTCAATGAGTTAACAACAATGGTTCAATGGTGGATTCTCTGCTCGGCTAAAATAAATGACAATCAATGTAATTTAATTTAAAATACCTAACTGGAGGGAAGATCTGTCCGTCAGTGTCAAAATCAACGAGTGGCTTTCTGAGACCAGCTCCAGTGACGAGCAAAACCTCCAAAAACACTGGATTCATGGCTGAGTCAGTGTAAAATTCAATCCAATTCAATTCAAAAAACGTTATTCATCCGTGAGCAACTGCATTTACAGACAGAGCAGCAGTGGGGAACACTAACATTAACTGGTCTTCAAATCAGCTGTTTAAAAGGAGAATCGAGGAGTGGAGGAAGCTGGATGTGGCCATATTTGTTTGGAAAGGGACTTGAACCTATGCCCTGATGGGAGCAGACTGTAGTGTAATTGCAGACTCAGTACTGACCAGTGAGACCGTCTGGGAGTCCAGGTCCAGGACTTTGATCTGGTGGTTGTTGGTGTCAGCCACATAGAGGGTCTTCCCCCCGTCGGACACACAGAGGCCTCCTGGTTCATTAAAGCTGGACTGGTTAAACCCGGGGCCCACCGTGTCCGCGGCGTCCCCGGTGCCGGCCACGGACACACACTGTTTTGTCTTGGGGTCCACCACTTTAATCTGAAAAAACACAAAGGATTTTTCATTCAATTCAATCCAATTCAAAGATTATATTTTTACTCTTTTAATGCACTGTGGCTATTTATTATTTTAATCCCATTTGTGATTTAACTGCTCATCAAGTCTGTTGGTCCACTGTTACACGGCAAATGGTTTTTGGTGCCACAGAAAACAAAAATTAAATAAAAATGAAGCAAAACCAGAGGACTCGGAGGACTTTAAAAAACACAGATCAGAGAATCAAACCGTTCAAAGATCAAACCGTGGCTTATGACCAAAGTCCACAAATGTTGATGAATGTTTTGTTGGAAGTGGATTATCTTTTGCGAGACACATTTTCTTTCTTTTTGAAGGTAGTTTGTGAGTTGCGTAAGCGGCCGTGTGACTCAGAGCTGCACTTACCTTGTGATTGTACGAGTCGGCCACATAAAGCAGGTTTTGTTCCCAGCACCAGGCCACGCCCAGAGGATGCTGCAGTTTGGCGTCAGACCCTTTCCCGTCTACGTCCCCGAAGGCAAACAGGTTCTGAGCAAACACAAGAGACAAGATGGAGGACGGCGGAGGACAAAGACACATTGAAATCATTAATACAATGTCAGAAAACAAAACAATGGATTTAGAAACGATAATGAGAAATCTGTAGCTTCTGTCGTTAGCGCGACATAAACATCAGCGGCCGTTTCGCTGACGCAGCAGAAAAATATATTATTTAGATTCAGAACAAGAAAAACTTTAATTATAGAGGGCTCAGGTTTAAAGGGTTTTTACAATCTGGGAAATCTGTTCCTTCTTCCTTCTCCTCTGTCCTCTCTCCTCTGTCCTCTCTCCTCTGTCCTCTCTCCTCGCTCCTCTCTCCTCTGTCCTCTCTCCTCGCTCCTCTCTCCTCTGTCCTCTGTCCTCTCCTCTCCTCTGTCCTCTCTCCTCTCCTCTCCTCTGTCCTCTCTCCTCTCCTCTCCTCTGTCCTCTCTCCTCTGTTCTCTCTCCTCTGTCCTCTGTCCTCTGTCCTCTCTCCTCTCCTCTGTCCTCTCTCCTCTGTCCTCTCTCCTCTGTCCTCTCTCCTCTGTCCTCTCTCCTCTGTCCTTTCTCCTCTGTCCTCTCCTCTGTCCTCCCCTCTCCTCTGTCCTCCCCTCTCCTCCCCTCTCCTCTCCTCTGTCCTCCCCTCTCCTCTCGTCTCCTCTGTCCTCCCCTCTCCTCTCATCTGTCCTCCCCTCTCGTCTCCTCTCCTCTCCTCTCCTCTGTCCTCCCCTCTCCTCTCGTCTCCTCTGTCCTCCCCTCTCCTCTCCTCTGTCCTCGCCTCTCCTCTCCTCTGTCCTCCCCTCTCGTCTCCTCTCCTCTCCTCTCGTCTGTCGTCCCCTCTCCTCTCCTCTGTCCTCCCCTCTCCTCTCGTCTCATCTCGTCTGTCCTCCCCTCTCCTCTCGTCTGTCCTCCCCTCTCGTCTCCTCTCCTCTGTCCTCTCGTCTGTCCTCCCCTCTCGTCTGTCCTCCCCTCTCCTCTGTCCTCCCCTCTCCTCTCCTCTGTCCTCCCCTCTCCTCTCGTCTCCTCTGTCCTCCCCTCTCCTCTCCTCTCCTCTCTCTCTGTCCTCCCCTCTCCTCTCCTCTGTCCTCCCCTCTCCTCTCCTCTCCTCTGTCCTCCCCTCTCCTCTCCTCTGTCCTCCCCTCTCCTCTCCTCTGTCCTCCCCTCTCCTCTCCTCTGTCCTCCCCTCTCCTCTCCTCTGTCCTCCCCTCCCCTCTCGTCTCCTCTGTCCTCCCCTCTCCTCTCCTCTGTCCTCCCCTCTCCTCTCGTCTCCTCTGTCCTCTCCTCTCCTCTCCTCTGTCCTCCCCTCCCCTCTCCTCTCCTCTGTCCTCTCCTCTCCTCTCCTCTGTCCTCCCCTCCCCTCTCGTCTCCTCTGTCCTCCCCTCTCCTCTCCTCTGTCCTCCCCTCTCCTCTCGTCTCCTCTGTCCTCTCCTCTCCTCTCCTCTGTCCCCTCTCCTCTCCTCTGTCCTCCCCTCTCCTCTCCTCTCCTCTGTCCTCCCCTCTCCTCTCCTCTGTCCTCCCCTCTCCTCTCCTCTCCTCTCCTCTGTCCTCCCCTCTCCTCTCCTCTGTCCTCCCCTCTCCTCTCCTCTGTCCTCCCCTCTCCTCTCCTCTGTCCCCTCTCCTCTCCTCTGTCCTCCCCTCTCCTCTCCTCTGTCCTCCCCTCTCCTCTCCTCTCCTCTCCTCTCCTCTCTCCTCTCCTCTCCTCTCCTCTCCTCTGTCCTCCCCTCTCCTCTCCTCTCCTCTCCTCTGTCCTCCCCTCTCCTCTCCTCTGTCCTCTCCTCTCCTCTCCTCTCCTCTGTCCTCCCCTCTCCTCTCCTCTGTCCTCCCCTCTCCTCTCCTCTCCTCTCCTCCCCTCTCCTCTCCTCTGTCCTCTCCTCTACTCTCCTCTCCTCTGTCCTCTCCTCTCCTCTCCTCTGTCCTCCCCTCTCCTCTCCTCTCCTCTCCTCTGTCCTCCCCTCTCCTCTCCTCTGTCCTCCCCTCTCCTCTCCTCTCCTCTGTCCTCCCCTCTCCTCTCCTCTGTCCTCCCCTCTCCTCTCCTCTGTCCTCCCCTCCCCTCCCGTCTCCTCTGTCCTCTCCTCTCCTCTCCTCTGTCCTCCCCTCTCCTCTCCTCTGTCCTCCCCTCTCCTCTCCTCTGTCCTCCCCTCTCCTCTCGTCTCCTCTGTCCTCTCCTCTCCTCTCCTCTGTCCCCTCTCCTCTCCTCTGTCCTCCCCTCTCCTCTCCTCTCCTCTGTCCTCCCCTCTCCTCTCCTCTCCTCTCCTCTGTCCTCCCCTCTCCTCTGTCCTCCCCTCTCCTCTCCTCTGTCCTCCCCTCTCCTCTCCTCTGTCCCCTCTCCTCTCCTCTGTCCTCCCCTCTCCTCTCCTCTGTCCTCCCCTCTCCTCTCCTCTCCTCTGTCCTCCCCTCTCCTCTCCTCTCTCCTCTCCTCTCCTCTCCTCTCCTCTGTCCTCCCCTCTCCTCTCCTCTCCTCTCCTCTCCTCTGTCCTCCCCTCTCCTCTCCTCTCCTCTGTCCTCTCCTCTCCTCTCCTCTGTCCTCTCCTCTCCTCTCCTCTCCTCTGTCCTCCCCTCTCCTCTCCTCTGTCCTCCCCTCTCCTCTCCTCTCCTCTCCTCTCCTCCCCTCTCCTCTGTCCTCCCCTCTCCTCTCCTCTCCTCTGTCCTCCCCTCTCCTCTCCTCTGTCCTCCCCTCTCCTCTCCTCTGTCTTCCCCTCTCCTCTCCTCTGTCCTCTCCTCTCCTCTCCTCTGTCCTCTCCTCTACTCTCCTCTCCTCTGTCCTCTCCTCTCCTCTCCTCTGTCCTCCCCTCTCCTCTCCTCTCCTCTCCTCTGTCCTCCCCTCTCCTCTCCTCTGTCCTCCCCTCTCCTCTCCTCTCCTCTGTCCTCCCCTCTCCTCTCCTCTGTCCTCCCCTCTCCTCTCCTCTGTCCTCCCCTCCCCTCCCGTCTCCTCTGTCCTCTCCTCTCCTCTCCTCTGTCCTCCCCTCTCCTCTCCTCTGTCCTCTCCTCTCCTCTCCTCTGTCCTCCCTCTCCTCTCGTCTCCTCTGTCCTCTCCTCTCCTCTGTCCTCCCCTCTCCTCTCCTCTCCTCTGTCCTCCCCTCTCCTCTCCTCTGTCCTCCCCTCCCCTCTCGTCTCCTCTGTCCTCCCCTCTCCTCTCCTCTGTCCTCCCCTCCCCTCTCGTCTCCTCTGTCCTCCCCTCTCCTCTCCTCTGTCCTCCCCTCCCCTCTCGTCTCCTCTGTCCTCCCCTCCCCTCTCGTCTCCTCTGTCCTCCCCTCCCCTCTCCTCTCCTCTGTCCTCCCCTCCCCTCTCGTCTCCTCTGTCCTCCCCTCTCCTCTCCTCTGTCCTCCCCTCCCCTCTCGTCTCCTCTGTCCTCCCCTCCCCTCTCGTCTCCTCTGTCCTCCCCTCTCCTCTCCTCTGTCCTCCCCTCTCCTCTCCTCTGTCCTCCCCTCTCCTCTCCTCTGTCCTCCCCTCTCCTCTCCTCTGTCCTCCCCTCCCCTCTCGTCTCCTCTGTCCTCCCCTCCCCTCTCCTCTCCTCTGTCCTCCCCTCCCCTCTCGTCTCCTCTGTCCCTCCCCTCTCCTCTCCTCTGTCCTCCCCTCCCCTCTCGTCTCCTCTGTCCTCCCCTCCCCTCTCGTCTCCTCTGTCCTCCCCTCTCCTCTCCTCTGTCCTCCCCTCTCCTCTGTCCTCCCCTCTCCTCTCCTCTGTCCTCCCCTCCCCTCTCGTCTCCTCTGTCCTCCCCTCCCCTCTCCTCTCCTCTGTCCTCCCCTCCCCTCTCGTCTCCTCTGTCCTCCCCTCTCCTCTCCTCTGTCCTCCCCTCCCCTCTCGTCTCCTCTGTCCTCCCCTCCCCTCTCGTCTCCTCTGTCCTCTCCTCTCCTCTCCTCTGTCCTCCCCTCTCCTCTCCTCTGTCCTCCCCTCTCCTCTCCTCTCCTCTCCTCTGTCCTCCCCTCTCCTCTGTCCTCCCCTCTCCTCTCCTCTCCTCTGTCCTCCCCTCTCCTCTCCTCTGTCCTCCCCTCCCCTCTCGTCTCCTCTGTCCTCCCCTCCCCTCTCGTCTCCTCTGTCCTCCCCTCTCCTCTCCTCTCCTCTCCTCTGTCCTCCCCTCTCCTCTCCTCTCCTCTGTCCTCCCCTCTCCTCTCCTCTCCTCTGTCCTCCCCTCTCCTCTCCTCTCCTCTCCTCTGTCCTCCCCTCTCCTCTCCTCTCCCCCGTCGTCAAGTTTCAGTTCAAACTCATATTATACAGAGGTAACCTGTAATCTAATTCTGTAAACTCATTTGTCAAATATCTTCAGAATAAAACCATAAATAGTAAAAATCTCTAACTTCCCACTGAGAAAACCATTTGGATTTGGCCCAGACCAGCTGTTTCTTTTCCACACTCTGGCCCAGACCAAACCGAGTCTGACTCCTGTGTTTTACAGTAAACATGGCCTTTGTCGTTCTGTAACAGGAGATAAATCACCAGTGGGTCCCTGTCCGCCCCGACCAGAGACTGGACCGCCCCGTCCTTCAGCGCCACGGTCCGGACAGAGCTGCTCTCGCTGTCGGCCACAAACAGACAGTTCCAGGGGTCGTGTGCGGCGACGGCGAGGCCAGAGGGCTGCGCGAAGCCGGCCTTATGTGGGTACGAGTTGTTCCGGTTCTCCTCGCTGCCGCTGCCGGCCCACCGCACACACGTCCCGGACTTTAACTCACTGTGAGGAACCAAAACCAAACCACAGAGTAAACACAGGGTCAAAGGAGGTTAAGAGACTTAGCCATCCGTAAAACTCTGGTCAATTATTATTTTCCTACATGTATGAAATGTGTACGATGGTGTGGTAAGACCAGGCTGAGTCAGTGGGGAATTGAAGAAACTACTGGTTAACATTCAAACCAATAGAATTGTGGGAAATTACCTCCAAAAATGTTTAGAATTATTGAAAGTAAGTAATATTTATTTAATTCTTAATTGTACTTTTACATTCACTCTCTTTGAATTAGTGCTAAAACTGGTGAGTCTAACTGAAATACAGAAAAACAGCTGGTTGAAACTGGCTAATGCTAAAGTCCAGATGCTAACTATTAACAGTAAGCATTGTTTTGCTAAAGTGGACCAGTGCTGTGGACCAGTGCTGTGGACCAGTGCTGTGGACCAGTGCTGTGGACCAGTGCTGTGGACCAGTGCTGTGGACCAGTACTGTGGACCAGTGCTGTGGACCAGTGCCGTGGACCAGTGCTGTGGACCGGTGCTGTGGACCAGTGCTGTGGACCAGTACTGTGGACCAGTGCTGTGGACCAGTGCCGTGGACCAGTGCCGTGGACCAGTGCTGTGGACCAGTGCTGTGGACCAGTACTGTGGACCAGTGCTGTGGACCAGTGCTGTGGACCAGTGCCGTGGACCAGTGCTGTGGACCAGTGCTGTGGACCAGTACCAAGGACCAGTGCCGTGGACCAGTGCTGTGGACCAGTGCTGTGGACCAGTGCTGTGGACCAGTGCTGTGGACCAGTACTGTGGACCAGTGCTGTGGACCAGTGCTGTGGACCAGTGCCGTGGACCAGTGCTGTGGACCAGTGCTGTGGACCAGTACCAAGGACCAGTGCCGTGGACCAGTGCTGTGGACCAGTGCTGTGGACCAGTGCTGTGGACCAGTACTGTGGACCAGTACTGTGGACCAGTGCTGTGGACCAGTGCCGTGGACCAGTGCTGTGGACCAGTGCTGTGGACCAGTGCCGTGGACCAGTAGCACCTTGGAATAGGGTTTTCTCTGTCATAGAAAGACAGCAACCAAAAATGCCTACTTTTGAATTTTAGCTCAATAGATTTAAAAATAAAAGATAATTAAAAAAGAAAAGACAAATAAACTACATTTAGATAAAGAAAAAGTTAAAAGTTAAGAAGATTAAACATGTGCATGATCCGAGTATTCACTCTTCATAACCGTCACATTGACCCTTACCGTCCTTTGGGGAGTTTTCCGTCGGACAGAAACAAAGCCCAGATCTGATGTGTTCCCGCCATCGCGACCCACAGCACGTTCCCGTCTTCACCGCCTCCAAAGTCAAACACACACAAACAATACGTATAAACATTTATTTGTGGAGGAGTCAAAAACAGCGACAAACGTTTTCCTGTAACTACAGCGGTCTCCACGGCTCAGAAACATGAAGTGTTTTAGAGAAACCCGAGCTGATCCGAGCAACACTCAGGTCTCAGTCGGAGTCGGACATTTTTACACTGGTCAAAGTAACCTAGAAGAAAAATACCAAGCTCAGGGTCTTATATGGGTATGAAAGACTCGGGGTCGGTCAAGGTAGGAAATAAGTAGGAATAAATGTTATATTTAGGGTATTCTTGAATCCCTGTGTGGGTAAATTTGACCGAAGTAAAGCTCAAGGTTTAATACAGGGCTTAGAACGAACTCTTTTTGGCAATTCAAAAAACAGGTCAATTCCAGTTTTCAATGGTTGGTTAAAGGTATAGAGGAGGTTTTTCTACTTCCAGGTGGATCATCAAATAAGTCAGTCATGTTTATTTATATAGCACATGTTACAGACCAAGGTACAGACCCAAAGGTACAGACCCAAAGCACTTTCCAATGTTCAGAGTCAGATATTGTTCCAATCCTTCCACACACGGTGATGACAGAAGCGAGTCCAGAACACACTGGACCATCAAAGCCTCTGACCCAACACCATCATTCACTCTCTCATTTACATTCAGACCTATGGTGGCTTCAAGACTATTGGTCCTTCTAACTGTCAATCATTCTGGAGATACGTGCTCGTCCAATAAGACCACCGCTTTTTAAAGTGGGGAAAGCGGTTCTTAACTAAAATTTGGGAAGATCCGGCACGGTGGCTGAATAGACAGCACTCTCAACAAGAAGATGCTGGGTTCGAATCCCGGTCGTAACAGGGTCTTTCTGAGTGGAGCTTGCATGTTCTCCCTGTGCCTACGTAGGTTTCCTCCGGGTGCTCCACTTTCCCCTACCACTAAAAACATGCTCACTCAGTAAAATCCTCCAGCTCTGTTCCAGACCAAGCCGAGCATCAACATCTGGAGATGGGTTCACAGGCGCTTTAACTACGGCGACCACTGCTCCTGACGTAAGCCTAAGTGGCATCAGGATGGGTCAAATGCAGAAGACTGAAATGTGCTACGGGGATTAATAAAGTGCATCTTTAAAACTTCAATTCAATCCGATGTATTCTTGTATGGCCCTAAATCACAGCAGTAAACATCTCACAGGACTTCACAAAACCGGTGAATTTGCCGACACAGATCAGAGAATCAAACAGTTCAAACACAAACAATGCAATCCATAAGAGACAGAGACCAATGCTAATAAATGTTGATAAATGTCCATAAAGAAGAGGGCCTTATGTAACTTTCCCACAGACACGACCACAGCTGTGTAGAGCCAGTGTCACTGCAGCTCGATGCAAAGGTGTAGGCTCCTCTCCATTATTTATGCACCTCCCTCTATACTGAGCCTCATGAATATGCAACAACTGTTTGGAATAATGACATCAGAGGGACTTAAAAGGCCTGGTCTGTGATACGTGTCCAACAGCAGCACAGGTACAGAGGGGAACAAAGGCTTTCTGACTCACTGAGCACAAGAATCAATGTAAATAACTATAACATGTGTATATATATAATACTGCAATTTCAGAATGTCACTTTATCTACTAATACTAATACTACTAATCCCTTGTAGGTCTTTTCGGGGCGGAACGGTGGCTGAGTGGTTAGCACTCTCAGCAAGAAGGTCCTGGGTTCAAATCCCGGTCAGACCAGGGCCTTTCTGAGTGGAGTTTGCATGTTCTCCCCGTGTCTGCGTAGGTTTCCTCCGGGTGCTCCGGTTTCCCCTACCACTAAAAATATGTACAATAGGTCTGGCATGTGCCTCCTGTACTGGCCCCGCTCCCATCTCTGTGTGGAGTGAGAGACAAATGCCCAAAATATAACAATTGTAAAACGCTTTGTGACTCTGGTCTGTGAAAGGCGGTATATAAATAAACATTACTTACTTACTTACTTTTCAATCAGGCCTATCAGGGATTGTATGTATTTTAACCCCTTCATACTTCTTTTTGATACTTAATGTACTTTGGATGTTTTTGTTTGTTTGTTTTTATACTGTATTTTAATCTGTAGCACTTTCCTGGGAATGTAAGGTACAATACAAAAATATATATTATTATTATTATCCTGCCCTATATGTATATAACTGCACACACACATATATATAGATAGATATAGAGGATATAGATAGACTGCCATTGATATTCAAGCATTTACAGCTAGCTAACAAACATAGCAGCTCCTTATATAATATGTTGTGTGCTCCCTGTGTCTACTGTCTGTGCGCTGCAACACTGAAATTTCCCCACTGTGGTACAAATACATTTTCTCTTATCTTTCTACACTTTTACTATCATTGACAACGTCTTCTTCAGTCTTCAAACTTAACAAGTCAAAAGTACGGGACACAATTGAATGGCAAAGTATAAAACAGATTATTTCACAGGAGTCTAGTGCCTTTATAATAACTGTAATATAAAAGATGAATTATTGAGATAGAAGCAATGCTCAGGGGGAGTAATAAAGGCAGTGGAGAGTGGCGTTCATCATGCAGCAGGTAGGACCACATCCCCCAGATCTGAAAATGGAATTGGAAGCAGCCGATAGTATTTGAAAAGACGTATACCTCGCCTCATGTTAGGATCATGGAAGTATTTTATTCCTACAGAACGACCGGTCGCTTCAACAACTGCATTTCCTTCTTATTTACCTGCTGTCCCGAGAGCCAGGTCCCAGGGCGAGCTGATTGGCTGCTCTGGTCCCATGGCTCCGCCCTCCTTGTCTGTTCCCTGGACTCCGACTCCGGCCAGAGTAGAGACTTTCTCGTTCAACAGGTCGATCTGTGAAAAAACCAACAACAAAAGGTAGAACTCTGGATGCATTCAATTTAAAGGAGCAGTCTGTAAAACGTGTGGCCAACAGTGGTACTGCAGCCTCTCCCACTCTCCCTGACTCAGGTTGCCAGATATGCAGACGAATCCAGCTGGGACCATAACAGCTGAATAGACAAGAGTTTTGTCAACAACAAATCTATAACCAACACCTTTTTCACAAAGATAGAAATCCTGGTTTTATTCCTTGTTTTGTCGTTAATGATTTGAGAATCATAACAAGACCTTTTTTAGTTCTGCGCCACATGGTACTTTACCAGTGAGATTAGCTCCACGCGGTGAGTTCTGGCGCCCGGATCACAGACTTTCTGATTGGTGAAACGGTGGAGGGCGGGACATCAATCTCTGAACTACTGTTATCAGTCAAAGAAGTATTGGAAAAGGCCCTTTAATGATGACAGATTAGGTCCCTTTAATGATGACAGATTAGGGCCCTTTAATGATGACAGATTAGGGCCCTTTAATGCTGACAGATTAGGGTCCTTTAATGATGACAGATTAGGGCCCTTTAATGATGACAGATTAGGGCCCTTTAATGATGACAGATTAGGGCCCTTTAATGATGACAGATTAGGGCCCTTTAATGATGACAGATTAGAGCCCTTTAATGATGACAGATAAGGGCCCTTTAATGATGACAGATTAGGGCCCTTTAATGATGACAGACTAGGGCCCTTTAATGATGACAGATTAGGGCCCTTTAATGATTACAGATTAGGGCCCTTTAATGATGACAGATTAGGGCCCTTTAATGATGACAGATTAGGGCCCTTTAATGATGACAGATTAGGGCCCTTTAATGATGACAGATTAGGGCCCTTTAATGATGACAGATTAGGGCCCTTTAATGATGACAGATTAGGGCCCTTTAATGATGACAGATTAGGGCGCTTTAATGATGACAGATTAGGGCCCTTTAATGATGACAGATTAGGGCCCTTTAATGATGACAGATAAGGGCCCTTTAATGATGACAGATTAGGGCCCTTTAATGATGACAGATTAGGGCCCTTTAATGATGACAGATTAGGGCCCTTTAATGATGACAGATTAGGGCCCTTTAATGATGACAGATTAGGGCTCTTTAATGATGACCTGACATGAAAAGCTTACATATTGCCATTTTAACTTTCAATTCAATTAATTGTTGTAAAGCCCTAAATGACAAAGCTGTCGTTTCACCAACACAGATCAGAGAATCAAACTCAGAAATGCAATAATAATAAAACAAACCTAAAAACATCAATAGTGCAAAGTTTTCCATCAGTTCTCTCACTCCAACAACGTTTATGAAAATAGAAAGCTTTTTGTCTTTGTCATTCACAGACAAATGGTTTTTCGTACTTTTCTGATGAGATGGTTTTCGGTGTCGGCCACATAAACAGTGTCTCCTTTAAAGGCCACTCCCTGAGGAGAGTTAAACGACGCCTCTAAAAAGGAACCGTCTTGTCGCCCACTTTTAGTTCCTGCAAAATATAAAAAACAGGTTAATTTTATAGTTATTAGATGAAATACAGTGTGATAAGTATGAGCAGCACCAGTGAGGGCGGGTGTGGCTGCAGGTGTGGCTGCAGGTGTGGCTGCAGGGTTTAGTTAGAGCCACACCAGACCCATGGCCTCGGGTGAGTCCAGTTTTAACCCGTGGGGGCGGGTCCCGGCTCACAAGGGACCGTGAGCACTAGGGGTGTGACGCGATACTTTCTCCCGCGATTTGATTATCAATATGCATTTGCCAAGTATCAATATCGATTTTGAAAAAAAATTAATTTGATAAATCAGTATCAATACTTAATATATGGCTACATTTCCATTTATCATGAAATAAAGTGTATTTTTTCACTTAAAATTGTTCTTTCATGTATGCCATATATTGGCATGTTCTATATTTATGACCGATATATATCGAAAATTGTCATATCGTGATAAATCGTTATTGTGATATTATTGTTATCGTGAGCTTTGTATGGGAACCTAACTCTTAGGTTCCCACCCCTAGTGAGCACGTGCACGGACATGCTTGTAATCTCACTCCCCCTGGTGGTGGCAAACCCGGAAAAATAATTATCCAGTGAATTTTAACGCCTTCTTTCCTTGGAAAATGTCTTTACAGGATGGTCCAAAAGTGGGTCTTGGTCCAAAATTATATTTTTTGGACCAGTCTAGTTAAACCGCTGTGGACTTCAGAATGCACTCGTTAAATGAATGGGGCTCGTGCAGCTGACGCAAATGCATTTTCTTACATTTTCCCGAGGGAGGGGCTGCCGGTGGCCATTTTGAATCTGCCCATGTCTGTGGCACATACATTTCAGTCTATGGTTTTAACCTGACGATTTGAGGAAATAGGTCGAGTCTGGTCTTGCTCCTGCTCATGTTGGAACAAAAACCTGCCGTCAAACATTGGTGCACTTCCTAAACTAACGGGTACTGAGTCAAAACCCCGGTGCTGAACGTCATACTCAATAAGAACGTAATCCTTGCTCCCTTTATCAGACTGAGCCATTAAGTATTTAGGAGGATGTGAACACAGTTTGACCCATTTCCTGGAGGGTTTGTGGCCCTTGTGAAACCTTGACGTCATGTGTGCCATTCAGACTCAGGGGACCAGAGCGAGTGGCTGTTCAGTGATGTTGTTGACCTTTGCATTTGACAACGTGGGATCTGGGAGCTGTGTGTGTGGAGCAGAAGCTAAATCCTTTATTTGCCTTATTTAAGAGATTTTGTCCAAAAAACATGGTTCAGCAAAACAAGAGACCCTCGTGATTTCCCCTAAACCCAGAGTAAAACCTGTTTTCTGTGATTATTCTGCCTCATAATGACACACACAACACTTCTGACCGTTTTTATTGTGACTAAACATAACCAGCACGACCTCGGTGAGTGCGGCACAATTTTCTTCAATTATGGAATCCATGTTTTGGTCCTGGACACTCACTTTATGTTTGATGTACCTTTGACGCAGCCTTATTATCCCCCGTTAACCCTTGTTCTGTATTTATATCAGTGGGCTCAAACTGGTTCCAGAAAGGGCAGGTTGCAGGTTTTCATTCTAACTAATAATAATAATGAATTGTTTTAATAAAGCGCTTTTCAGACGCTCAAAGTCTCCATATGTTTATTCTTTTACTAAAACTCAGTGGTGATAAACTACTGTAGCCACAGCTGCCCTGGGGCACACTGACAGAAGCGAGGCAACCAGTCTGTGCCATTGGCCCCTCCCACCACCACCAACCATTCACACACACACCAGACTCATTCTAATGTGGGGGAAGTGTCTTGCCTAAGGACACAACCACAGTTTGGCACTTTACAGCCGCAGCCGCCCCACTGTGGCACCGGGTGTTCCCAGATGTCTCCCATCACAGAACTAACCAGGCCCTGCCCTGCTTAGCTTCATAGGTCTGACAGGATCTGGCTTTCACCTGCAGTTTTGGACACACCGAGGAAGAGCACACCAGACTCCTCCCATTTCCTCCATTCTTCAGGTTAAGACTGGACTCACTCGACAAAATGGATGGCGTCTGGTGTGCTCCTGTTTGGTTGGAATGAAAACCTGCAGACCCCTGAGGACCGGTCTGACACCCCTGATTTATACGAAACATATTCATACATATTTTCCCGCAGTAATTAAAGCTCATTACCTCCAATAACATGCAGCAGTTGGCCCGTGGGAGAAACCACCAGGACCCGGTGGTGTCCGGTGTCCGCGATGACCAGCCTCTTGCTCTCGTCCACCGACACTTTCCCAGGAAAGGACAGAATAGTGGGAGGCAGAGAGTCCTTCAACAGCTTGATCTGCACCGAGTGAGACCTCAGCAGACCCCGCTCTCCGTAGAAACTCATGGAGGTCTTAGTGAAGAGTGTGAGCCGGTCTTTGTGGCCCTCGCCCACCAGAGAGAACAGCAGGTTCCCCTTCGGACCCAGGAGGACCAGGGTGGGCCAACAGGACACCTCCAGCTCATGCCAGAGCCGTGCATCACCGTCATTCACCACCGGGTGGCAGATGTTGTAGCGAAGGACAGCACTGCGAATGTTCTCCAGAACCTAACAGAAAATAGTGTCATTTTAAGGTATGTCTGCCCCAACCTGGCATTTTTACAATCAGTCACTACTTTACTATTTTCATTCATATTTTAGGCTGAACAAAACGGTTATTCGTATTTTCGGCAATTTAAAAATTATTCAAAAGAGCAAGGATTTTCTTTTCCTGAATTCCTAAATGTACTTTTCATTTGACCCATTAAGTTCAAACCATAACACCATAAGTGATCATTAAAACACTGAACAAACAGGATTAATATAATAAATAAGTAAATAGGAAGCTCAATGCAGAGAGAAATCAGGTTAATTAATCATATACTGAATAAGTCAATATAACGTATCACTGCAACATTAGTCATTCTGTGAAGAGACAAGTTACTGCTAAAATCAAATTACCTTTTCATTTGGGAATTTAGCAGAGTGCACCCCGATAATGACCAATCCATCTGGAGAACAAACAGTTATCAGTGTCACATACATTACCACACGCTCAGCTTTTGGGACAATTATTCTAATGTAGCTAATCATTAAAACACCCACCGTACAGTTATACAAGCCTGATCTGTGTATTTATTCACACATTAATGTTTTTACTGATAAATAAACAAGTGAATATAAGTGCGTCTGTTTGGAACCCATGAGAAAAGCAGAACGAGTGTGAGCTGAGGGTGAACCTTGTGGGCACAGTTTACTCAGTGACGCTCTGAACACTCTGAAGAAAATCATCAAAGAAACTAAAACACAACCTTTATTGTTTAGAACTATCAAGGGTCGAAAACAGTTTGGACCATGTTACGTAACTGCAAATGATCAATACGTGGGTACGGGAAAGGGAGGTCCAATTTTAGGGTTTAGAAATGGTTGTTTTGTTCCTACAGTCATGGAGTCTAAACATATATTATTGATTAGTAAAAAAAAGAAACCATCTGGACATTTCTGGTTGTGAATAATTTGACATTGTAAAAGGAGCAGTATTTAAGAATGTGGCCAAAAGTGGTACTGCAGCCTCTCCCACTCTCCCTGACTCAGGTTGCCAGATATGCAGACGAATCCAGCTGGGACCATAACAGCTGAATAGACAAGAGTTTTGTCAACAACAAATCTATAACCAACACCTTTTTCACAAAGATAGAAATCCTGGTTTTATTCCTTGTTTTGTCGTTAATGATTTGAGAATCATAACGAGACCTTTTTTAGTTCTGCGCCACATGGTACTTTACCAGTGAGATTAGCTCCACGCGGTGAGTTCTGGCGCCCAGATCACAGACTTTCTGATTGGTGAAACGATGGAGGGCGGGACATCGAAAGATTTAGGGTAAAAGTACTTTAGAAATTCACTAATCTCTGAACTACTGTTATCAGTTAAAGAAGTATTGTAAAAGAGCAGTTTATTATTATGACAGATTAGGGCCCTTTAATGAGGACAGATTAGGGCCCTTTAATGATGACAGATTAGGGCCCTTTAATGATGACAGATTAGGGCCCTTTAATGATGACAGATTAGGGCCCTTTAATGAGGACAGATTAGGGCCCTTTAATGATGACAGATTAGGGCCCTTTAATGATGACAGATTAGGGCCCTTTAATGATGACAGATTAGGGCCCTTTAATGATGACAGATTAGGGCCCTTTAATGATGACAGATTAGGGTCTTTTAATGATGACAGATTAGGGTCTTTTAATGATGACAGATTAGGGTCTTTTAATGATGACAGATTAGGGTCTTTTAATGATGACAGATTAGGGCCCTTTAATGATGACAGATTAGGGTCTTTTAATGATGACAGATTAGGGTCTTTTAATGATGACAGATTAGGGCCCTTTAATGAGGACAGTTTAGGGCCCTTTAATGATGACAGATTAGGGCCCTTTAATGATGACAGATTAGGGCCCTTTAATGATGACAGATTAGGGCCCTTTAATGATGACTTGAAAATGAAAATATTACATATTGCTTCTTTAAATTGAGTGTGGTACAAATTCAAATGGAAAGCAGGTCTGCTCTTCCATATTCTCTGTATCCAACACTCTGTAGAGGATATTTCATCAGTAAAAGCCGACGCCAGGCACAGGGCAGATTGCGGTGCTGATGGGAGACTGTGGGAGTGAGTGGACGGGGCAGCTCTCACACCTCACTGACCAGAGCAGAAACAGAATGTACCCACTGCACTGCCAAAGATAAGGCCAGAGTTATGTCAAACTGTAGATGGAAGCGGGCTGCCAGTGTTTCCCAAGCGGCGGCCCGTGAACCCCTAGAGGTACGCAGCGGTATGACAGGGGCACTTCAAATTATTTTAAAGTATAATTATAAACCCCCTTGACCACAATGAGCTTGAAAACCATGAGGTGCGTGGAATCATTTTTCACACTTGCCAAAGAGGAAATACACAGAACAGGAACAGGTTGGGGACCACCTGCCTTCAGTTCAAAGCCCAGAGGAGTTTGGCGGATGATACTGACACATGTACGCTTACTGGGTCATGCATTCAATTATAGCAGAGGATGGAGCGTAAACCACAGAATCTGTGACTGCAGTTAAGAATTATTATCATACTTTCACAACTGAAGATATGAATGAACAGTTATTGTTTTTCTCATGTGCAGAATTCTGAGCCCAGCTGTGTTGCATAAATGAGGATCTGAAGATTAGCATATTCGGAGTATGAATGTGATATTATAATTCAGAATGTAAACATGAAAGATAGATACCTTCCACAGAGTGACTCTTCTCGAGCTGATGCAGGTCCGGTAAGATGTGCATACAGTTTATGCAACAATAAGTGAAGAAGTCCAACACAACCACTTTCCCAGACAAGTCCGTGTTCAGAGACAGAGGGCCCTCGGTGTTCAGCCATTCCAAACCTAACACATGAAAGCATTACTTTTTATACAATAGTAAAAATCCCAGATTAAAACCAACTGTATCTTCTTGGAAGTCACTGACTACTGTTGAGTTTATGTTTCTTTTACAGATGTTGTCTTTGTACTTTACTTTCACAGACACTGATGGTCTCCATCTGCTGGTCAAACAGTATGTTGTATATTAGTCAGAAGTAAAGATGTAGTAGTCTATACTAAAATGTATGTGAAATATAAACACAGTATGTGTGTGTGTGTGACAAAGTATGAAAATAACCTATATTTACGTTTTATTTGATTTGACAGGAAACTTATGTTGACTTCAGGTTTTTCTAACAGCATCAGGGAACTAAACTTTCACCACAGAAACTTAGCAACGTTTCACAGAACACAGTCAGATGAAAGACTTGGTGAACATACTTATATACAGATATACAGATATACTGACATACAGATATACAGATATACTGACATACAGATATACTGATATACTGATATACAGACATACTGATATACAGACATACAGACATACTGATATACTGATATACTGATATACAGACATACAGACATACTGATATACTGATATACTGATATACAGACATACTGATATACAGACATACAGACATACAGATATACTGACATACTGATATACTGACATACAGATATACTGACATACAGATATACTGATATACTGACATACAGATATACTGATATACTGACATACAGACATACTGATATACTGATATACTGATATACAGACATACTGATATACAGACATACAGACATACAGATATACTGACATACAGATATACTGATATACTGACATACAGATATACTGACATACAGATATACTGATATACTGACATACAGACATACAGATATACTGACATACAGACATACTGATATACTGACATACAGATATACTGACATACAGATATACAGACATACAGATATACAGACATACAGATATACAGACATACAGATATACAGATATACTGATATACTGACATACAGATATACTGATATACTGACATACAGACATTCAGATATACTGACATACAGACATACAGATATACTGATATACTGACATACAGATATACTGACATACAGATATACTGATATACTGACATACAGATATACTGATATACTGACATACAGATATACTGATATACTGATATACAGATATACTGATATACTGATATACAGATATACTGACATACAGATATACTGATATACTGACATACAGATATACTGATATACTGACATACAGATATACTGATATACTGACATACAGATATACTGATATACTGATATACAGATATACTGACATACAGATATACTGATATACTGACATACAGATATACTGATATACTGATATACAGATATACTGACATACAGATATACTGATATACTGACATACAGATATACTGATATACTGACATATAGATATACTGACATACAGATATACTGACATACAGACATACAGATATACTGACATACAGATATACAGACATTAGGGGTGGGCGATATGGCCTAAAATTCATATCGCGGTATAATTTGGGTCATAGACGGTAGACGGTATATATCGCGGTATAATTTGGTGTGTGAATTTCAATATAGGTCTAGCAGGTTCTTGCATAAAATAGTCAAGATTGTTAATTATTTATATATTAGAATCTAATATATATTTTTTGAGTTAGAAAATCAGTTGTGAGACGAATAAAGAGACAAATAACATACATTATTTATGTATGTTACAGTAAATACCATTCACTGTAAAAGCAATTTTTAAAAAGAAAAACATATGCATTCATTTAAAATATAAAAAACTCACAAATGTTGAAATCAAAGTCTGTAGGAGTTTGACATGGTCATTATTTATAGTGTCTGAGAGTTTTGTGCAGGTGCATGACTTCAGTAAAAGCTGTTCGTTTACAAAGCTGGTCTTGCCATTTGTTGACGCTCCCTAAGCGCTTTTCTCTGCGCTGGATGATTCAATGGATTTTATGTTCATTAAAACAGCGCATTGGATTTGAACAATTGATGTAAATGGTCATTTTGGCACAAATAATTTTGTTTAACAAAGTAGCTTTCGTGAGATATTGACCGCGGAGGTCCGAATCTGACGCTAACTTTCCCAAACTTCTGTGATGCTGCGGACACGGCACACGCATGGATTTTGGCTCACACTGGCGCTTTGAGCCTACGCCGCTTTGACACTGATTGGCCAAAAGGTAAACTCTTAAACTGTGATTACTGTGTGTGTATTTACCTCTGCTGGGGCCGCTGTGACAACAATACAGAGACAGAAACACGGTGTTAATGCCGTGCTGTTGTTCGCTGTTTCCAGTGGTGTCCAATAGTGCTAGGCTAATGCTAGGCTAATGCTAGGCTAATGTGCTAGGCTAATGCTAGGCTAATAGTGCTAGGCTAATGCTAGGCTAATAGTGCTAGGCTAATGCTAGGCTAGGCTAATGCTAGGCTAATAGTGCTAGGCTAATGCTAGGCTAATAGTGCTAGGCTAATGCTAGGCTAATGCTGCTGAATGCCGGTTTGTTTTGGTCCTTTCTGCTGGCGTCAGAACCTGCGCAATTTAATGACATAATGACCTATCGCAATATGCCGGTATAACAAAAATCTCTACCGTGGGCCCAATTTATACCGTCTACCGTTTATACCGTTTATACCGCCCAGCCCTAACAGACATACAGATATACAGACATACAGACATACTGATATACAGATATACAGATATACAGATATACTGATATACTGATATACTGATATACAGATATACAGATATACAGATATACAGATATACTGATATACAGATATACAGATATACAGATATACTGATATACTGATATACTGATATACAGATATACAGATATACAGATATACTGATATACAGACATACAGATATACAGATATACTGACATACAGATATACTGACATACAGATATACAGATATACAGATATACTGATATACTGATATACTGATATACAGATATACAGATATACTGATATACTGATATACTGATATACAGATATACAGATATACAGATATACTGATATACAGACATACAGATATACAGATATACTGACATACAGATATACTGATATACAGATATACTGACATACAGATATACTGACATACAGATATACTGACATACAGATATACTGATATACAGATATACTGACATACAGATATACTGACATACAGATATACTGATATACTGATATACTGACATACAGATATACTGATATACTGATATACTGACATACAGATATACAGACATACAGATATACAGACATACTGATATACTGACATACAGATATACAGACATACAGATATACTGATATACAGATATACTGACATACAGATATACAGATATACTGACATACAGATATACAGACATACAGATATACTGACATACAGATATACTGACATACAGATATACTGACATACAGATATACAGACATACAGATATACTGACATACAGATATACTGACATACAGATATACTGACATACAGATATACTGACATACAGATATACAGACATACAGATATACTGATATACAGATATACTGACATACAGATATACTGATATACTGATATACTGACATACAGATATACTGATATACTGATATACTGACATACAGATATACAGACATACAGATATACAGACATACTGATATACTGACATACAGATATACAGACATACAGATATACTGATATACAGATATACTGACATACAGATATACAGATATACTGACATACAGATATACAGACATACAGACATACAGACATACTGACATACAGATATACTGACATACAGATATACTGACATACAGATATACTGACATACAGATATACAGATATACAGATATACAGACATACAGACATACAGATATACAGATATACTGACATACAGATATACTGACATACAGATATACTGACATACAGATATACTGACATACTGATATACTGACATACAGATATACAGACATACAGATATACTGATATACAGATATACTGACATACAGATATACAGATATACTGACATACAGATATACAGACATACAGATATACAGACATACAGACATACAGATATACAGATATACTGACATACAGATATACTGACATACAGATATACTGACATACTGATATACTGACATACAGATATACAGACATACAGATATACTGACATACAGATATACTGATATACTGATATACTGATATACTGATATACTGACATACAGATATACAGATATACTGATATACTGACATACAGATATACAGATATACTGACATACAGACATACAGACATACAGATATACTGACATACAGATATACTGACATACAGACATACTGACATACAGATATACTGACATACAGATATACTGATATACAGATATACTGACATACAGATATACTGATATACAGATATACTGATATACTGACATACAGATATACTGATATACTGACATACAGATATACAGATATACTGATATACAGACATACAGATATACTGATATACAGATATACTGACATACAGATATACTGATATACTGATATACTGACATACAGATATACAGACATACAGATATACTGACATACAGATATACAGACATACAGATATACTGATATACTGATATACTGACATACAGATATACAGACATACAGATATACAGACATACAGATATACTGATATACAGATATACTGACATACAGATATACTGACATACAGATATACTGATATACAGATATACTGACATACAGATATACTGACATACAGATATACTGATATACAGACATACAGATATACAGACATACTGATATACTGATATACAGATATACTGACATACAGATATACAGATATACTGATATACTGACATACAGATATACAGATATACTGACATACAGACATACAGACATACAGACATACAGATATACTGACATACAGATATACTGACATACAGACATACTGACATACAGATATACTGACATACAGATATACTGATATACAGATATACAGATATACTGACATACAGATATACTGATATACAGATATACTGATATACTGACATACAGATATACTGATATACTGACATACAGATATACAGATATACTGATATACAGACATACAGATATACTGATATACAGATATACTGACATACAGACATACAGATATACTGATATACAGATATACTGATATACTGACATACAGATATACAGATATACTGACATACAGACATACAGATATACTGACATACAGACATACAGATATACTGATATACAGATATACTGATATACTGACATACAGATATACTGACATACAGACATACAGATATACTGATATACAGATATACTGATATACTGACATACAGATATACAGATATACTGACATACAGATATACAGATATACTGACATACAGATATACTGACATACAGATATACAGACATACAGATATACTGATATACAGACATACAGATATACTGATATACTGACATACAGATATACAGATATACTGACATACAGACATACAGACATACTGATATACTGATATACAGACATACAGATATACTGACATACAGATATACTGACATACAGATATACTGATATACAGATATACAGATATACTGATATACTGATATACAGATATACTGACATACAGACATACAGACATACTGATATACTGATATACAGACATACAGATATACTGACATACAGATATACTGACATACAGATATACTGATATACAGATATACTGATATACTGATATACAGATATACTGATATACTGATATACTGATATACAGATATACTGATATACAGATATACAGATATACTGATATACTGATATACTGATATACAGATATACTGATATACTGATATACTGATATACTGATATACAGATATACAGATATACTGATATACTGATATACTGATATACAGATATACAGATATACTGATATACTGATATACAGATATACTGATATACTGATATACAGATATACTGATATACTGATATACAGATATACAGATATACTGATATACTGATATACAGATATACTGATATACTGATATACTGATATACAGATATACTGATATACTGACATACTGATATACAGATATACTGATATACTGACATACAGATATACTGATATACAGATATACTGATATACTGATATACTGATATACAGATATACTGATATACTGACATACAGATATACTGATATACAGATATACTGATATACAGATATACTGATATACTGATATACTGACATACAGATATACTGATATACTGATATACTGATATACTGATATACAGACATACAGATATACTGATATACTGATATACTGATATACTGATATACAGATATACTGATATACTGATATACAGATATACTGATATACTGATATACAGATATACTGATATACAGATATACTGATATACAGATATACTGATATACAGATATACTGATATACTGACATACTGATATACAGATATACTGATATACAGATATACTGATATACAGATATACTGATATACAGATATACTGATATACAGATATACTGATATACAGATATACTGATATACAGATATACTGATATACTGACATACTGATATACAGATATACTGATATACTGACATACAGATATACTGACATACAGATATACTGATATACAGATATACTGATATACTGATATACTGATATACTGATATACAGATATACAGATATACTGATATACTGATATACTGATATACAGATATACTGATATACAGATATACAGATATACTGATATACTGATATACTGATATACAGATATACTGATATACTGATATACTGATATACTGATATACAGATATACTGATATACTGATATACTGACATACAGATATACTGATATACTGATATACAGATATACTGATATACTGATATACAGATATACTGATATACTGATATACTGATATACTGATATACTGATATACAGATATACTGACATACAGATATACTGATATACTGATATACAGATATACTGATATACTGATATACAGATATACTGATATACTGACATACAGATATACTGATATACAGATATACTGATATACTGATATACAGATATACTGATATACTGATATACTGATATACAGATATACTGATATACTGATATACTGATATACTGATATACAGATATACTGATATACTGATATACTGATATACAGATATACAGATATACTGATATACTGATATACTGATATACAGATATACTGATATACTGATATACTGATATACAGATATACTGACATACAGATATACTGATATACTGATATACAGATATACTGATATACTGATATACAGATATACTGATATACTGACATACAGATATACTGATATACAGATATACTGATATACTGATATACAGATATACTGATATACTGATATACTGATATACTGATATACTGATATACTGATATACTGATATACAGATATACTGATATACTGATATACTGATATACAGATATACAGATATACAGATATACTGATATACTGATATACTGATATACAGATATACTGATATACTGATATACAGATATACAGGACAGTGGACTGGGCCAGGAACATAAACAGTGCTTTGAAAGAGCCACTATTTGAAGTTAGACCTACCTTTCTGAAAATCGGGTATTTTTAGATCCTCCCGTTCGTCAACTTTGTTCAAGTAATCGTAGACAATATGAACTTTTTCCTGCTCTGTTGGGGCTTCTTCTAAAGCTAAATCCAACTGACTTTGGATCGGAAATAAAGTAGAGAGGCTGCACTGTGAAGCCATGATTCCAGCAACTAGCGGCTGTCAGTAACGCAAATGCTACTGACCGTTCACCGCCGCACTTTCGTCACATAATCCACCAAGAACCACACACAAAATAAATGTAGTCTGTAAAATGTGATTATAAATAATTTACAGTTTAATAATATTTAAATTACATATGTTTAGGTGATTCCTAATATTAGATTACATGTACTTAACGTTTGTGTTGGATTTGTGAATGTGCTGATCAAATCCAGTAGCTGCATTTACGTCATTCATATCTGAGTGGCGGCAAATGCTAATGCTAAGCTAATGTATCAACAATGCTAGCGTGTGTGAGAACCAGGTGGAATACGGCGTTTCTATTTGATCCCTTTTTAACTGATCGTGTGGATATCCGATGGCCTCATGTGGGGAATACATCAACAAGCGGCTTACATGTTGTAGTAACTTAATATATCAACAACAGGAATGTTTTTATTATTGTTATTACTGGTGAAGTCCTGTGTCATAACCATAGACTGTATTTATTAACGGGAGCTTGTTGTATAATTCGGGACTTTGCGATTTCTGGGATCCCAAATGTCCCCCAACGACGACTCTGAAAATGATATTTGGGATTACAAGCCTCTTAAGAAAAAGAAGAAGCAAGAATTGTCAATTGTTCTCAAAACAGGGGTCAAGAGAAAATGTTCAAGCAGAGACATCAGAGACATCAGAGGACAGACTTCCTCCTCTGTCACATCTGCTGCAAACAACATCAACACAACTGTCACATCTGCTGCAAACAACATCAACACAACTGTCACATCTGCTGCAAACAACATCAACACAACTGTCACATCTGCTGCAAACAACATCAACACAACTGTCACATCTGCTGCAAACAACATCAACACAACTGTCACATCTGCTGCAAACAACATCAACACAACTGTCACATCTGCTGCAAACAACATCAACACAACTGTCACATCTGCTGCAAACAACATCAACACAACTTGTATTGATGTAAAAACTGAACCTTTTACATCAATAGAAGAAAACACGACTTTAAACGCAGCAAATGCATTCTTTTCTAAACATGAAGCTGTCCTGAGTTGTAGTAAGAGTGATGAAGAGGATGAAGAGGAAGAATCAGCTGCTGACTTCTGTCCTGTGTGTCAGATGCCTCGCTCCATTCCCCTGCTGCAGTCTCATGTTGGGGACTGTCTTGACTTCTGCAGATCAAGATGCAAAGGTAAATTGTTGTTGTAGCTGTGCGTTGTTCCAATTAATTATATAAAGAGTTAATATATTTTTGGTGTTTGTTGTAATTTGGTAGTAAGTAAGTTAGTAAGTAATCTTTATTTATATACCGCCTTTTCACTGCAGATCAGAGTCTCAAAGCGGTTTACAATTGTTAATTTTTGGGCATTTGTCTCTCACTCCACACAGAGATGGGAGCGGGGCCAGTACAGGAGGCACATGCCAGACATGCCTATTGGACATGTTTTTAGTGGTAGGGGAAACCAGAGCACCCGGAGGAAACCTACGCAGACACGGGGAGAACATGCAAACTCCACTCAGAAAGGCCCTGGTCCGACCGGGATTCGAACCCAGCCACCGTGCTGAGTGGATAGCACGTCTGTACGAATGTAGCTGCTTGAAATGTTTTGAAATGTTCTTTTTTTATGTATTGCACTTGGGGGTGGGGGCTCATAAGCTTTTTGCTTCAGCCCACTCCTTTTGAGCACAATGTGTATTGCTCAAATAAACTAAACTAAACTAAATACCACAGTGAGGAATGACAATATTCAGAATCACTCAAACTGCACCATTGTTGATTTAAACAGATTGTGGCTCAATTCAACTATAAGATAAGATTTATTTACATGAATAGGATCAGTGCAAAAGACATGGTAAAAAAGTGACAAGTCTCTTTTGTGCTGATTAACAAAATCAACACATCTTTTTTTCCAGTCACTGTACAGTTTTAATTTAAGGTAAATCTTTTAACTTTTACTTTAGTCTGCTTTCCCCCACGACCCGGCAACGGATGAATCGGAAGAAAGAGGATGGATGAATTTATTTTGGCGTTATTGATAAGTATATAATAAGCAATGTTAAGATTTAGATTCATGTTATCTGTCATTTGCAGTAAAACCACAGTGGAATAATTTGCATAAGTCCATAAATAAATAAACAAGGTTAAAGCTGAAGGCGTTGAAATCAATACAATTTTAAACTGTGAATATCTGCATATGGCTAATATGGTTTAAATGATTCTTGCACACTTTCTGTGAATGATACGAATTGTATTTCACTTCTCAAATACCACTGTGTTTGTCTCCTATATGATATATTTAACTGAAGTTTCTTATCCAAATAACCAATTATTTTTTAGGAAAATCAGACAGATGTTTGTACCCTCACGCATACAAACAGTGCCCCAGCTTTAAGTTCATTTTGACAGGTGATTTATAGTATATGATTTTGCACTTATTGTTGTTGTTCTAAATGTTTTCTCAGAGTGTCCGGACGGCCTCATGTGCTCCTCTACATTTCCAAACCATTACAGAGACTTTGACCACACGCTGCTGGCACAAAGTCGAGCCAATGGAAGTCTAGTTGTTCCTCAGATAATTACTGGAGAAATCAACCACAGCAGACTCGCAAATAATCATGAGGCGCGAGCGGATAATTCACCTTTGAAGACTTCACAAGATTATCTCCCCTTAGACTCTTTGCCTTCATCACCTCTTAATAATTCCCAAACTAAATCACCCACAATTCGTAACGGCCTCCTCCTACTACGCTCGCCCGGCGCTCAAGATTTAAAGAAGAAGAAAGGCTGGTCTTCTCCTAAGGTTCCAAAGGCAGTCAGTTCTGTTCAAGGATCTAAAGCAGAGAATGTGTCCACTCCGAGCAAAACCGCAGAGACCCAAACACATGGCTGCGTTCTCCAAAGTACAGCTTCTGACGTGGACGATGCCATCTCCTACTCCCCTCTGTCTGAGCTCCCAGCGGAGGGCGAAGCCAAACACACTGGGGCTAGAAAAACACTTTTTGATTTTGACCCTGGGGGGAGGGAGAATGACAGGTCCATTGCAGCGTTTAGCGACAGTGACGATATTTTATTTGCTGAATTTTTGGATGATTTTGATGAGGAGGAGGAGAAAGAGTCCCCGTCACTAAACTACACACAGATGGCTTCAGCTTCACAGCCGTCTCATCTGGAAACGTCAAACAAAGCCACTGACACATGTGTAAAGGAAAAGCCCGGATTATCCCTCAGCGTTGGCTCCAGTAACAGCAGCATTCTCTCTCCACAGAGTATTGTCCTGGAGCGGTTGAGGGACACCATTTTAGAGACAGAAAAGTCGTCACATCAAAGCAGTAGTAAGACCAATTCAGAAATGTCTGTATCCGACAAAACCACACCTCAGAAGATCCCAAACAAAGCAGCTCAGTCTGGGAGCCTTAAACAAACCGATATCGCTGTGTTTTTTGGACTTAAACCACTCCCGGTTAAAGAGACTGAGCATGTTTCTGTAGCTGTGGGGGAGAAGCAGGCGGTAAAAACACAAAAGAAGAGCAGGCAGAGGCCGGGACCAGCGACCACAGCGGGAAGTTCACAAGCTGCAGTGGCCACGGTGGAAAGTGAAGGAGGAAGTAAAAGGACTGGGAGGAAAGGATGGAGAAGATGGAGCAATGCAGCCGCAGAGGAAGGAAAATACCCAAGATGCCCATTTTACAAGAAGATCCCTGGTAAGAATGGGGTCTTTTTAAAGATAATAATGTGATATTTTTCTGGTACAAGGTTTTTATCCAAGTATGAATGGCTATGGTATTTGTGATTTTGCATGATTTAGGCACAACATTTGTGGTGGATGCCTTCCGCTATGGACCCATCGATGGGATCTCTGCTTACTTCCTCACACATTTCCACTCGGACCATTACGACGGACTGAGAAAAACCTCCACTCTTCCCATCTACTGTAATAAAGTAAGTCACTTTTGTGTTGTCCTTTTTAGAGGTGCTTTGTGTTGATTTTGTGTTGAGTGTGTTCAGAAATATACAAAGTTTCTCAAAGAACATTTATTTTGCCGTTTACAAAGAAATGGAAATATATGATTGGTCTGCATCTGTGTTTTGACCCAATTTGTTTTCCTACAAAGCCATCATTCAAAGTTCTCACTGTTTGGCTCATTTAGTTTTTCCCTTTTCTGTGTTAAATGTATCTGCAGCTTTAGGTATTACTGTTTTTCAGCTGTTCACAGGAGTTTGCATTTAAATGTTTATGTTTGGGAGGGAGAGATCAATCTCAGGCTTTATATGGACACATCTTTTGGGTCACTGCTCGGTAGGTTACTCAAAATCCACATGGTGTTTCTAGGTAGGTCATAGCCCAGATAAAGTTTGGTCTGACACATCCAGAAATATGTGTCACAGATGGAATTTCTGCTCTAAAAGGGCAGAAAATGGAAATGGCACAGTTTAAAGAAGGCCATTCAAAACTCCGATGTTCTTTATCATTTCAATGCTATCCACCTGCAATTCCCCGTGCCTCCACCAGGGGGATCACCGGACATTTCACTTTAAGAACTGCCAACAAGAATTTATGGGAAATACTTTTGTTTTAAAAGGCAGAAAAATATTGTAAGACTATTGCCGCTTTCTTGCGGTTGTGGAACTCGTAAGTTCCAACTTTCCACTCAGAAAAATGGGATTGATTCCTGCTCAAATCCTGCTGGGGCTGAGACTGGAGCTGAGACTGGAGCTGAGACTGGGGCTGAGACTGGAGCTGAGACTGGAGCTGAGACTGGGGCTGAGACTGGGGCTGAGACTGGGGCTGAGACTGGGGCTGAGACTGGGGCTGAGACTGGGGCTGAGACTGGGGCTGAGACTGGGGCTGAGACTGGGGCTGAGACTGGGGCTGAGACTGGGGCTGAGACTGGGGCTGAGACTGGGGCTGAGACTGGGGCTGAGACTGGGGCTGAGACTGGGGCTGAGACTGGGGCTGAGACTGGGGCTGAGACTGGGGCTGAGACTGGGGCTGAGACTGGGGCTGAGACTGGGGCTGAGACTGGGGCTGAGACTGGGGCTGAGACTGGGGCTGAGACTGGGGCTGAGATGAGACTGGGGCTGAGACTGGGGCTGAGACTGGGGCTGAGACTGGGGCTGAGACTGGGGTGAGACTGGGGCTGAGACTGGGGCTGAGACTGGGGCTGAGACTGGGGCTGAGACTGGGGCTGAGACTGGGGCTGAGACTGGGGCTGAGACTGGGGCTGAGACTGGGGCTGAGACTGGGGCTGAGACTGGGGCTGAGACTGTGGCTGAGACTGGGCTGAGACTGGGGCTGAGACTGGGGCTGAGACTGGGGTGAGAACTGGGGCTGAGACTGGGGCTGAGACTGGGGCTGAGACTGGGGCTGAGACTGGGGCTGAGACTGGGGCTGAGACTGGGGCTGAGACTGGGGCTGAGACTGGGGCTGAGACTGGGGCTGAGACTGGGCTGAGACTGGGGCTGAGACTGGGGCTGAGACTGGGGCTGAGACTGGGGCTGAGACTGGGGCTGAGACTGGAGCTGAGACTGGGGCTGAGACTGGAGCTGAGACTGGAGCTGAGACTGGGGCTGAGACTGGGGCTGAGACTGGGGCTGAGACTGGGGCTGAGACTGGGGCTGAGACTGGGGCTGAGACTGGGGCTGAGACTGGGGCTGAGACTGGGGCTGAGACTGGGGCTGAGACTGGGGCTGAGACTGGGGCTGAGACTGGGGCTGAGACTGGGGCTGAGACTGGGGCTGAGACTGGGGCTGAGACTGGGGCTGAGACTGGGGCTGAGACTGGCGCTGAGACTGGGGCTGAGACTCGGGACAGAAGGGGCATAGACTAATCTAAAAATAAATGTTTTTGGGGAACAAGGCTCAAACATGTAGTCGTTTTTAAAACATGTCTCTTTAACATGTAACTGTCCTAATCCCAGATCACGGGGAACTTGGTGAAGCACAAACTGAAGGTTCCAGAACGATACGTCCACATTCTGCCCATGAACACGGAGGTCACGGTGGACGGGGTCACGGTCGTTCTGATGGACGCCAACCAGTGAGTCTGATGTCTCTTTCTCTCACCACATTACTAACATATACATTTCCCCTGTCGCTAATTTTGTGAAATGTATTTTTTGTCTCTGTGTGTGTGTGTTTCTGTGTGTGTGTGTCTCTGTGTGCGTGTCTGTGTGTGGGTTTGTCTGTGTGTATGTTTGTCTGTCTGTGTGTGTCTCTGTGTGTGTCTCTGTTTCTGTGTGTGTGTGTGTGTGTGTCTGTGTGTGTGTAGTTGTCCAGGGGCCTGCATGCTGCTGCTGCGTCTCCCTGACGGTCAGACAGTGCTTCACACTGGAGACTTCAGAGCAGACTCTTCGATGGAAACTTATCCTGAACTAGAACCACACAGAGTCCAGACTCTTTACCTCGACACCACGTTAGTAACACACATTTATATATATATATATATATATATATATATATATATATATAAATATCTCATAAAGACACACACATACACATACACACACATACTGTATATACACACATATACGCGTATACACACATACACATATTCACTGAGATATACATCCAATCACACACACACACACATATACAGTGCCTTGCGAAAGTATTCGGCCCCCTTGAACCTTTCAACATTTCGCCACATTTCAGGCTTCAAACATAAAGATATAAAATTATTTTTTTTTGTCATGAATCAACAACAAGTGGAACACAATCGTGAAGTGGAACAAAATGTATTGGATAATTTAAACTTTTTTAACAAATAAAAAACTGAAAAGTGGGGCGTGCAATATTATTTGGCCCCTTTACTTTCAGTGCAGCAAACTCAGTCCAGAAGTTCAGTGAGGATCTTTGAATGATCCAATGTTGTCCTAAATGACTGATGATGATAAATAGAATGCACCTGTGTGTAATCAAGTCTCCGTATAAATGCACCTGCTCTTTGATAGTCTCAGGGTTCTGTTTAAAGCGCAGAGAGAACCATGAAGACAAAGGAACACACCAGGCAGGTCCGAGATACTGTTGTGGAGAAGTTTAAAGCCGGATTTGGATACAAAAAGATTTCCCAAGCTTTAAACATCTCAAGGAGCACTGTGCAAGCAATTATATTGAAATGGAAGGAGTATCAGACCACTGCAAATCTACCAAGACCCGGTCGTCCCTCCAAACTTTCATCTCAAACAAGGAGAAGACTGATCAGAGATGCAGCCAAGAGGCCCATGATCACTCTGGATGAACTGCAGATAACTACAGCTGAGGTGGGAGAGTCTGTCCATAGGACAACAATCAGTCGTGCACTGCACAAATCTGGCCTTTATGGAAGAGTGGCAAGAAGAAAGCCATTTCTCAAAGATATCCATAAAAAGTCTGGTTTAAAGTTTGCCACAAGCCACCTGGGAGACACACCAAACATGTGGAAGAAGGTGCTCTGGTCAGATGAAACCAAAATTGAACTTTTTGGCCACAATGCAAAACGATATGTTTGGCGTAAAAGCAACACAGCTCATCACCCTGAACACACCATCCCCACTGTCAAACATGGTGGTGGCAGCATCATGCTTTGGGCCTGCTTTTCTTCAGCAGGGACAGGGAAGATGGCTAAAACTGATGGGAAGATGGATGGAGCCAAATACAGGACCATTCTGGAAGAAAACCTGTTGGAGTCTGCAAAAGACCTGAGACTGGGACGGAGATTTATCTTCCAACAGGACAATGATCCAAAACATAAAGCCAAATCTACAATGGAATGGTTCACAAATAGACGTATCCAGGTGTTAGAATGGCCAAGTCAAAGTCCAGACCTGAATCCAATCGAGAATCTGTGGAAAGAGCTGAAGACTGCTGTTCACAAACGCTCTCCATCCAACCTCACTGAGCTCCAGCTGTTTTGCAAGGAAGAATGGGCAAGAATTCCAGTCTCTCGATGTGCAAAACTGATAGAGACATACCCCAAGCGACTTGCAGCTGTAATTGCAGCAAAAGGTGGCGCTACAAAGTATTAGCGCAAGGGGGCCGAATAATATTGCACGCCCAACTTTTCAGTTTTTTATTTGTTAAAAAAAGTTTAAATTATCCAATAAATTTCGTTCCACTTCACGATTGTGTCCCACTTGTTGTTGATTCTTGACAAAAAATTTAATTTTTATATCTTTATGTTTGAAGCCTGAAATGTGGCGAAATGTTGAAAGGTTCAAGGGGGCCGAATACTTTTGCAAGGCACTGTACATACACATATATACACACATAAAATATATATACATACACACATATACACACACAAATACATACATACACACACATAAATACATATACGTACACACACATATATACATGCTTACACATTACTATAGCCACATAATAATGGTCATGTTGTGTGTAGTAGTAATTGTAGTATTTGTGTGTACAGTTACTGCAGTCCACAGTACACGTTTCCAAAACAGCAGGAGGTCATAAACTACGCCACAAACACCGCCTTCGAGCTGGTGACGCTCCGCCCACGGACTCTGGTGGTCTGCGGCTCCTACTCTGTGGGCAAGGAGAAGGTGTTTCTGGGTAAGTGTTCCCCTGCCTCCTCCCAGCCTCCCCCGAGCCTCTCTCCATCCTCTCTCCATCCTCTCCATCCTCTCCATCCTCTCTCCATCCTCTCTCCATCCTCTCTCCATCCTCTCTCCATCCTCTCTCCATCCTCTCCATCCTCTCTCCATCCTCTCTCCATCCTCTCCATCCTCTCCATCCTCTCTCCATCCTCTCCATCCTCTCTCCATCCTCTCTCCGTCCTCTCTCCATCCTCTCTCCATCCTCTCCATCCTCTCTCCATCCTCTCTCCATCCTCTCTCCATCCTCTCCATCCTCTCTCCATCCTCTCTCCATCCTCTCCATCCTCTCTCCATCCTCTCTCCATCCTCTCCATCCTCTCTCCATCCTCTCTCCATCCTCTCCATCCTCTCTCCATCCTCTCTCCATCCTCTCCATCCTCTCTCCATCGTCTCTCCATCCACTCTCCATCCTCTCTCCATCCTCTCCATCCTCTCTCCATCCTCTCTCCATCCTCTCCATCCTCTCTCCATCCTCTCTCCATCCTCTCTCCATCCTCTCTCCATCCTCTCTCCATCCTCTCTCCATCCTCTCTCCATCCTCTCTCCATCCTCTCCATCCTCTCTCCATCCTCTCCCCATCCTCTCTCCATCCTCTCCCCATCCTCTCTCCATCCTCTCCATCCTCTCTCCATCCTCTCTCCATCCTCTCTCCATCCTCTCTCCATCCTCTCTCCATCCTCTCTCCATCCTCTCTCCATCCTCTCCATCCTCTCTCCATCCTCTCCCCATCCTCTCTCCATCCTCTCCCCATCCTCTCTCCATCCTCTCCATCCTCTCTCCATCCTCTCTCCATCCTCTCTCCATCCTCTCTCCATCCTCTCTCCATCCTCTCCCCATCCTCTCTCCATCCTCTCCATCCTCTCTCCATCCTCTCTCCATCCTCTCTCCATCCTCTCTCCATCCTCTCTCCATCCTCTCTCCATCCTCTCCATCCTCTCTCCATCCTCTCCCCATCCTCTCTCCATCCTCTCCATCCACTCTCCATCCTCTCCATCCACTCTCCATCCTCTCATCCTCCATCCTCTCTCCATCCTCTCTCCATCCTCTCTCCATCCTCTCCATCCTCTCTCCATCCTCTCTCCATCCTCTCTCCATCCTCTCTCCATCCTCTCTCCATCCTCTCTCCATCCTCTCTCCATCCTCTCTCCATCCTCTCTCCATCCTCTCTCCATCCTCTCTCCATCCTCTCCATCCTCTCTCCATCCTCTCTCCATCCTCTCTCCATCCTCTCTCCATCCTCTCTCCATCCTCTCCATCCTCTCCCCATCCTCTCTCCATCCTCTCCCCATCCTCTCTCCATCCTCTCCATCCTCTCTCCATCCTCTCCCCATCCTCTCTCCATCCTCTCCCCATCCTCTCTCCATCCTCTCCATCCTCTCTCCATCCTCTCTCCATCCTCTCTCCATCCTCTCCCCATCCTCTCTCCATCCTCTCCATCCACTCTCCATCCTCTCTCCATCCTCTCTCCATCCTCTCTCCATCCTCTCTCCATCCACTCTCCATCCTCTCCCCATCCTCTCTCCATCCTCTCCATCCTCTCTCCATCCTCTCCATCCTCTCTCCATCCTCTCTCCATCCTCTCTCCATCCTCTCTCCATCCTCTCTCCATCCTCTCTCCATCCTCTCTCCATCCTCTCTCCATCCTCTCTCCATCCTCTCTCCATCCTCTCCCCATCCTCTCTCCATCCTCTCCCCATCCTCTCTCCATCCTCTCCATCCTCTCTCCATCCTCTCTCCATCCTCTCTCCATCCTCTCCCCATCCTCTCTCCATCCTCTCCATCCACTCTCCATCCTCTCTCCATCCTCTCTCCAGCCTCCCCCGAGCCTCTCTCCATCCTCTCTCCATCCTCTCTCCAGCCTCTCTCCATCCTCTCTCCATCCTCTCTCCGTCCTCTCTCCGTCCTCTCTCCGTCCTCTCTCCGTCCTCTCTCCGTCCTCTCTCCTCTCTCCATCCTCTCTCCGTCCTCTCTCCGTCCTCTCTCCGTCCTCTCTCCGTCCTCTCTCCGTCCTCTCTCCGTCCTCTCTCCATCCTCTCTCCATCCTCTCTCCATCCTCTCTCCATCCTCTCTCCATCCTCTCTCCATCCTCTCTCCATCCTCTCTCCATCCTCTCCATCCACTCTCCATCCTCTCTCCGTCCTCTCTCCGTCCTCTCTCCGTCCTCTCTCCGTCCTCTCTCCATCCTCTCTCCGTCCTCTCTCCGTCCTCTCTCCGTCCTCTCTCCATCCTCTCTCCGTCCTCTCTCCGTCCTCTCTCCGTCCTCTCTCCGTCCTCTCTCCGTCCTCTCTCCGTCCTCTCTCCGTCCTCTCTCCGTCCTCTCTCCATCCTCTCTCCATCCTCTCTCCGTCCTCTCTCCGTCCTCTCTCCATCCTCTCTCCATCCTCTCCCCATCCTCTCTCTCCTCCCCCCACCCTCCCCCCACCTTCCCCCCAGGGGTTTCTCTTCTTATCATGACAGGGACTCATTATAACCAAAATAAATGCTTTGTCGTCTCTTTTGGCTAATTAGGGCGTTGATGAGAAGTGTTTGGATACTAATTGTTTGTGAAAATGACATGATAATTTATGCATTTAATCTGCTGAAGCGGAACAAGGACGTGTCAATAATGAGGAGTCCGGAAGTTCTTATTGTTGCTTCATTTTCATCCTCCTCAGATTCACTTTATTTGCCATTTGCAGTAAAACCACATTGGAATACATTTGCAAAAGTCCCCAGTGTGCAGCCGACCAGTACAGACATTAAACAACTTTAAAAATACAGAAATAAAACAGTAAACAATTGTCACAGTTAAATCTATTTAAATTAGTGAATATAAATGAAGTAATTAAAGCTGCACTAACTGACTTTGGGATTTTGAAGCCGCGGACTCGCTGGCCTCTCTCTTTCTGCTCCCCTCCCCGCACCCACGAAGCTATCGCCCCCCTCACACACTCACTGTTGGGACGGAGTTAGCGTCTCCCAATATGGATAATACACGAATATGGATTTGCACGTGGATGGCGTGACCATAGAACGATAGAACCGGGAAGCGCGGAGGAACGGGACTTTCATTTGGATGGCTGTCTCGCTGTGTAAGCAGTAACCGGTGACGAAGACACACAAAGCTTCAGGTTAGCTCCGCCGCTTGTTGTGCTAACTCAGCCGTCTATGCTAACAGGGACCTGGAGATTTCTCACGAAAGTGGGGGCTATTGGTCCGCTGTGATTGGTCACAATCTGCGACCCGAAACACATTCTCTTCCTTGTTTCATCAAAACTCGATCTAAAATATAATGTCACGCCAGCACAAATCTGCTCTAATTATTCTTCAAAAGGACGTATATCCCAATGCACTACATGGACATGGATAGACTTTTAGTAATTCATACAAAAATAAAGTCAGTTAGTGCAGCTTTAACTTGTTTTAATGATTGATTCTGATTGGCTCTCTCTCTGATTCTGATTGGCTCCGTCTCTCTGATTCTGATTGGCTCTCTCTCTCTCTGATTCTGATTGGCTCTCTCTCTCTCTGATTCTGATTGGCTCTCTCTCTCTCTGATTCTGATTGGCTCTCTCTCTCTCTGATTCTGATTGGCTCTCCCTCTCTCTCTCTGATTCTGATTGGCTCTCCCTCTCTCTCTCTGATTCTGATTGGCACTCTCTCTCTCTGATTCTGATTGGCTCTCTCTCTCTCTGATTCTGATTGGCTCTCCCTCTCTCTCTCTGATTCTGATTGGCTCTCCCTCTCTCTCTCTGATTCTGATTGGCACTCTCTCTCTCTGATTCTGATTGGCTCTCTCTCTCTCTGATTCTGATTGGCACTCGCTCTCTCTGATTCTGATTGGCTCTGTCTCTCTCTGATTCTGATTGGCTCTCTCTCTGATTCTGATTGGCTCTGTCTCTCTCTGATTCTGATTGGCTCTCTCTCTCTGATTCTGATTGGCACTCTCTCTCTCTGATTCTGATTGGCACTCTCTCTCTCTGATTCTGATTGGCACTCGCTCTCTCTGATTCTGATTGGCTCTGTCTCTCTCTGATTCTGATTGGCTCTCTCTCTGATTCTGATTGGCTCTGTCTCTCTCTGATTCTGATTGGCTCTCTCTCTCTGATTCTGATTGGCACTCTCTCTCTCTGATTCTGATTGGCTCTGTCTCTCTCTGATTCTGATTGGCACTCTCTCTCTTATTTTGATTGGCTCTCTCTCTCTCTGATTCTGATTGGCTCTCCCTCTCTCTCTGATTCTGATTGGCTCTCTCTCTCTCTGATTCTGATTGGCTCTCTCTCTCTCTGATTCTGATTGGCTCTCTCTCTCTCTGATTCTGATTGGCTCTCCCTCTCTCTCTCTGATTCTGATTGGCTCTCTCTCTCTCTGATTCTGATTGGCTCCGTCTCTCTGATTCTGATTGGCTCTCTCTCTGATTCTGATTGGCTCTCTCTCTCTCTCTGATTCTGATTGGCTCTCTCTCTCTCTGATTCTGATTGGCTCTCTCTCTCTCTGATTCTGATTGGCTCTCTCTCTCTCTGATTCTGATTGGCTCTCTCTCTCTCTGATTCTGATTGGCTCTCCCTCTCTCTCTCTGATTCTGATTGGCTCTCTCTCTCTGATTCTGATTGGCTCTCTCTCTCTGATTCTGATTGGCTCAGTCTCTCTGATTCTGATTGGCTCTCTCTCTCTGATGGTTGTGTAGCGCTCGCAGACGTCCTGGGCTCCAAAGTGTGTCTGTCCAGGGACAAGTTCAACACCATGTGCTGTCTGGAGTCAGAGGATATCAGACGGAGAATCACCACGGACTGGAAATCAGCCCAGGTCCATGTGTTACCCATGATGCAACTGTCCTTCCAGGTAGGTGCAGCAGCAAAAGTGTTCTTTAAAGTTTCCACGTCTTTGTATGATTTTTTTTGGACCAAATACTTGTTGCATTGTTTACAGACATCACAACGTTACACAGAGCAGAGAACCTCTGTTGAACCAAGACCTAACACAGTGGACCGTATTATATTTAATTAATTAAATGAATAGTACAATATTCTCTTACGTTTGCGGCCAGTTTTAAAACTAATCAAATATCATCCCGGGGCCAAGATCGTTCATTCGCCGGCCGGATCTGGCCCCGGGGCCTTGACTTTGACTCCCCTGATGCAGGTCAATGTTCATATTTTGTTCTTTAAGGTGAATTAAAAAGACAAAATTAATGCACAAAACACACATATGTGTGACACACATGAACCTGAAGAATTATAGAATTATTTCAGAGAAGAAAGAGACCGAGGGCATTCTTCTTTCTCTCTCTGTGTTTACAGAAACTAATGTTGTTGTTGTGGTTCACAGAGACTCCAGGATCATCTGTGTCGCTTCTCTGCGCAGTACGACCGTCTGGTGGCGTTCAAACCCACAGGATGGACGTTCACTCAAACGGAGACGGTGGAAGACATCGTACCTCAGGTCAACGGCAACGTCACTGTTTACGGTGAGTTAGGGTTCAATCTATCTATCTAAGTATCTATCTATCCATCTATCTAAGTATCTATCTATCCATCTATCTAAGTAAGTACTGTATCTATCTACCTAAGTAAGTATCTATCTATCTATCTGTGTCTATGTATCTATCTATAACAATATCATGTATTATTGTGTTTCCCTAAATCAGAACAGCATCATCAGAGAATTAACAAAACCATAGAAATCACAGATCAGAGAATAACAGTTAAGACACAGAAAATACACATTATGGACCAACACATTTCTATCTATAGAATTAAAGATAGAATTTTAAGATTTTTTTTTTAAATAGATAAGTACATAATACTTGAAATGTGTTTTTAAACTAGAATCTAGTCGTTTGGGGCGAGTGTATTTTTATTATTTTCAGAAACCTTCGAGTCATATTTTCTTCTATTTTCAGATCATGTTTATTATTTTAAACAGTTTCTCACTTATTTTCACACCGTTTTGTCTTATTTGTCTCACCGTATTTCACTGACGTCCCGCGGCTCAGTGGTGGGAAGCCTCTGACTGCCTTTTGTCCGCTCTTTTGTCCGCTCAGGGATCCCGTACAGTGAACACAGCAGTTTCCTGGAGCTGAAGCGTTTCGTGCAGTGGCTGAAGCCGCTGAAGATCATTCCCACCGTGAACATCGGGCGCCAGGAGACACGGGCGGCCATGGAACGCTGCTTCCGTGACTGGATGAAGGAGACGACGGAGGACACGCTCTAACCTGCACTTTTCACCAAACATTAACACTCTGCAGAAAGAGATGAAAACATGGCACCAATTTGGAAAAATGTGTTTTAATTTAAACAGATTCTGACTCAGACTTAAACTAGATTCTCCAACGGGACAAAACAAAATGATCTTGTTTTAAAAAGATACAGAAAAAAAAACGTTGTCCCGTTGGAGAATCTGGATTTAAATCAGAATGTGTCAGATTAAGATAAAAAAACTAAATCCAAGCATTTATTCCCTCAGATTTGATCTTTTTTTACAGTGTTTTTGTGATATTAGCATCAGTTGAAATATTACTGAAGAAATGACAGTATAATTATTAATATTCTTTGCTTTTATGGTTGCTCACTATCACCTGAATATATATGAACAGATAAATGTATTTTACAAGTCGTTTGTCTTTTTTAAATGACTTTTAATGAATAATAAATACAAAGTTACAAAGTATTTTGTCACTTCTTATTGGATGAAACAGGATTTTACAGAGTTTACTAAAACTTTAATCTAGAATAAACATGAACATGATGTAAATGAAGAAATATTTCAGAAAATCACAATTTTACAAATCACTTCACAGTTTTACAGTGTTTGGAGCAGTTTCATAAACAACAGGAAAAAACACTGAATCAAAAATAAGTCGAAGAATCTATTTACAGTTTTATTCTTCATCTGATCGTCTTTGAACAGAGGCTTTTATTGATCTGTTTGTTACAGATGTATGAGTGGTGATGTCACATGATGGATGGTGATGTCACATGATGTAGTGGTGATGTCACATGATGTAGTGGTGATGTCACATGATGTAGTGGTGATGTCACATGATGGATGGTGATGTCACATGATGTAGTGGTGATGTCACATGATGGATGGTGATGTCACATGATGTAGTGGTGATGTCACATGATGTAGTGGTGATGTCACATGATGGATGGTGATGTCACATGATGGATGGTGATGTCACATGAGTGCGGCTCTAGTCGCTGCAGATGCAGGAAACTGAGTGGATTTGTGGAGCTCCAGGAAGACGCAGCAGCGTGATTTTCACCTGAGAACATGGACACATGAACACATGAACACATGGACACATGATCACATGAACACATGAGCACATGGACACATGGTCACATGAACATCATGAACACATGAACACATGAACATCATGAACACATGAACACATGATCACATGGACACATGATCACATGGACACATGGACACATGAACACATGATCACATGAACACATGATCACATGATCACATGAACACATGAACACATGATCACATGAACACATGGACACATGAACACATGATCACATGAACACATGAACATCATGGACACATGAACACATGATCACATGGACACATGGACACATGATCACATGAACACATGAGCACATGGACACATGAGCACATGGACACATGAACATCATGGACAGATGACACATGATCACATGGACACATGAACACATGAGTACATGAACACATGGACACATGAACACATGATCACATGGACACATGAACACATGAGCATCACGGACAGATGACACATGATCACATGGACACAGGGACACATGAACAAATGGACACATGAACACATGGACACATGAACACATGATCATCATGGACAGATGACACATGATCACATGGACACATGAACACATGATCACATGGACACATGATCACATGGACACATGAACACAAGGACACATGGACACATGAACACATGAACATCATGGACAGATGACACATGATCACATGGACACATGAACATATGGACACATGAACACATGGACACATGAACACATGGACACATGAACATCATTGAAAGATGACACATGATCACATGGACACATGGACAATGGACACATGAACACATGGACTCATGGACATATGGACACATGAACACATGAACATCATGGACAGATGACACATGATCACATGATCACATGGACACATGATCACATGGACACATGGACACATGAACACATGATTACATGGACACATGGACACATAATCACATGGACATATGGACACATGGACACATGAGCACATGAACACATGGACACATGAACACATGAACACATGGACATATGGACACATGAACACATGAACATCATGGACACATGATCACATGGACACATGAACACATGAACATCATGGACATATGACACATGATCACATGGACACATGGACACATGAACACATGATCACATGGACACATGAGCACATGAACACATGAGCATCACGGACAGATGACACATGATCACATGGACACAGGGACACATGGACAAATGGACACATGAACACATGAAAATCATGGACAGATGACACATGATCACATGGACACATGAACACATGATCACATGGACACATGATCACATGGACACATGAACACAAGGACACATGGACACATGAACACATGAACATCATGGACAGATGACACATGATCACATGGACACATGAGCACATGAACACATGGACACATGAACACATGGACACATGAACACATGGACACATGAACATCATGGAAAGATGACACATGATCACATGGACACATGGACAATGGACACATGAACACATGGACTCATGGACATATGGACACATGAACACATGAACATCATGGACAGATGACACATGATCACATGGACACATGGACACATGAACACATGATTACATGGACACATGGACACATAATCACATGGACACATGAACACATGGACATATGGACACATGGACACATGAGCACATGAACACATGGACACATGAACACATGAACACATGGACTCATGGACATATGGACACATGAACACATGAACATCATGGACACATGATCACATGGACACATGATCACATGGACACATGAACACATGATCACATGGACACATGAACACATGATTACATGGACACATGGACACATGATCACATGGACACATAATCACATGGACACATGAACACATGGACATATGGACATATGGACACATGAGCACATGAACACATGGACACATGAACACATGAACACATGGACATATGGACACATGGACACATGAGCACATGAACACATGGACACATGAACACATGAGCACATGGACACATGGACACATGAGCACATGGACACATGAGCACATGAACACATGGACACATGAACACATGAGCACATGGACACATGGACACATGGACACATGAGCACATTGACACATGGACACATGGACAAAAGGTGAATACATGCAGTAGTGGGGGTACAGTTTATACACACGCGCACGTAACAGCACCAGAAAAACATGTTTAATATTGATAAAAAAAGAATGATTCTTTATAAATGTTTTTTATGCTTCACTCTTTCTCTACGTTTGACCTGTTTGCACCGAGAGACAAAGAATTTCCTCGTCTGTGACTTCCTGTTACTGACACAGCTATAAAGATGATTGTGATAGTGAGAAGAGAGTTACCTCATTCTTGAGGGACTTGTTGATCAACAGGGTGAACTCCTGCAGACGGTCTATGTGTAAGTCATTCAGAGCCAGGATCTGGTCTCCTCGGAGGAACAGGCACGTGGGCTGACCCGTCCAGCTGGACACACTGACCATGGTTTGTTATTGACAGATGTAGAGCTGCAGATGGACGTCTTTATGAGTCTGTTCTAATTTATCATTTTTCAGTAACACAAATAGTTTATTAGCAACAAAACCTGAGCTGAAAAACCAGGATGTCCGAGTCCCTCAGATCCTGTTGGATCTATTCAAACACAAACTCTCATGTAATATGTAGAATAATGACACACACACCTGGGCTTCCCGTCCACCTCCGTGAGTTTCAGATGTTTTTTCAGATCTGCCTGTTTGACCTCGATATCTCTCTCGTGGAGGTTAGTGAAGTCGAGGCTTAAAGATGAAACACACGAGTCGAAAATTAGAAAGTACAGAATCTTAAGTCTGAAAATGAAAACACGTTTGAATTGATGTGGTTTTGGTGAATCTTAAATGAGGCTAAAATCTGAAATGCTGTTTTTCTTCATTTTATTTTCCTGTGTGTCATAAACCAGTCGGTCCAGCTCCACATTCCTCGATGAGTGACGTTTCTGACTCACAACAATGACTCAGGAGCTTTGAACCCAGCGACACAGAAAGACACAGCTGCTGTCGTAGGTTGGACATTCTCACCATTCTGTAGAGCTTTGTTTTTCCAGTGGCCTTTGTTTGTCCAGCATTTCCACTGGAGACATGGCCCCTGGAGACATGGGCACTGGAAACATGGGCACTGGAGAAACGGCCCCTGGAGACATGGCCCCTGGAGACATGGGCACTGGAAACATGGGCACTGGAGAAACGGCCCCTGGAGACATGGCCCCTGGAGACATGGCCCCTGGAGACATGGCCCCTGGAGACATGGCCCCTGGAGATACAGCCTCTGGGGACATGGCTCCGGTGTCACTGGAGCTGGTGCTACAGTCCGATAACAGTCGCCTGCGTCCCTCTCTGAAACTAAACATACAAATCTTCAAACAAATGTACCCACTTTTAAAATAAGATAATAAGATACAATAAATAAGATTCATTGTATTTTCCATTTGCAGTAAAACCACATTGGAATACATGTGCAAAGCTACCTCAGGGTGCACCAGACACACAAACAAGACAAGCTAAAAAGTACAAGAAGCTGTTAGCATATCCAGATGTGTATCGATATTTCAGACCATGTAACACTGTGCTTTCATGGTACAGTGAGTCATTTCAATAATAATATATTTAAAACAGTCCCTAGCGTTAGCATGAGTCTCACTAGTAAGATTTTCTGGAAGAGAGAAGTTGAACCAATGACAAGGCGCCTCAAGTTTTTGAAATGATTTTGTCCAATCAGAAAGCTGCAGGGGTGAACGTGGGCGGGGCTAACCAGTGCTCTCCTCTTCACAGCTTAAAAAACTACACAGTGCGTTGCTACGGTAACTAGCACTTGATATTCTCTGGTGGAAAATGAGTTAAGATAAAACCGCTCACGTTTCAAAAGTAAAAGATCATTTCATTAAAACAAAACAATGACATAGAAAAAAACTACAGGAAGAAATGGAAAAAGTCCCAAAGTTATGAAACTACCGTTGGAAACTAGCCGACGTAGCTACACCGACGTGTAGCTAACACCGACGTGTAGCTAACACCGACGTGTAGCTAACACCGACGTGTAGCTAACACCGACGTGTAGCTAACACCGACGTGTAGCTAACACCGACGTGTAGCTAACACTGAAGCTAACACTGACGGGTAGCTAACACTGAAGCTAACACTGACGGGTAGCTAACACTGACGGGTAGCTAACACTGACGGGTTTACAGACATGCTGTGTACTGTCCCTATTTGAATAAACTAATAAATAAATTAATGAAGAATAAATGTGAGACTAAAGATGATAGAATTTAAAAACATATTTATAAAGATGTCACTCACTCGAGACGTGAAGAAGACAAAAGCACCATGAGACCAGTGTGAGACCAGTATGAGACCAGTATGAGACCAGTGTGAGACCAGTATGAGACCAGTGTGAGACCAGTGTGAGACCAGTATGAGACCAGTGTGAGACCAGTGTGAGACCAGTATGAGACCAGTATGAGACCACCATGAGACCAGTATGAAACCAGTGTGAGAGCACCATGAGACCAGTATGAGACCAGTATGAGACCAGTATGAGACCAGTATGAGACCAGTTTGAGACCAGTATGAGACCAGTATGAGACCAGAAAGAGAGCACCATGAGACCAGTATGAAACCAGTGTGAGACCAGTATGAGACCAGTATGAGAGCACCATGAGACCAGTATGAGACCAGTATAAGAGCACCATGAGACCAGTATGAGACCAGAATGAGACCAGTATGAGACCACCATGAGACCAGTATGAGACCAGTATGAGACCAGTATGAGACCAGTATGAAACCAGTGTGAGACCAGTATGAGACCAGTATGAGACCAGTATGAGACCAGTTTGAGACCAGTATGAGACCAGAATGAGACCAGTATGAGACCAGTATGAGACCAGTGTGAGACCAGTATGAGACCAGCATGAGACCAGTATGAGACCAGTATGAGACCAGTATGAGACCAGTTTGAGACCAGTATGAGACCAGAATGAGACCAGTATGAGACCAGTATGAGAACAGTTTGAGACCAGTATGAGACCAGTATGAGACCAGTATGAGACCAGAAAGAGAGCACCATGAGACCAGTATGAAACCAGTGTGAGACCAGTATGAGACCAGAATGAGACCAGTATGAGACCAGAATGAGACCAGTATGAGACCAGAATGAGACCAGTATGAGACCAGAATGAGACCAGTATGAAACCAGTGTGAGACCAGTATGAGACCAGTATGAGACCAGTATGAGACCAGTTTGAGACCAGTATGAGACCAGAATGAGACCAGTATGAGACCAGTATGAGACCAGTGTGAGACCAGTATGAGACCACCATGAGACCAGTATGAGACCAGTATGAGACCAGTATGAGACCAGTATGAGACCAGTTTGAGACCAGTATGAGACCAGAATGAGACCAGAATGAGACCAGTATGAGACCAGTATGAGACCAGTATGAGACCAGTTTGAGACCAGTATGAGACCAGTATGAGACCAGAAAGAGAGCACCATGAGACCAGAAAGAGAGCACCATGAGACCAGTATGAAACCAGTGTGAGACCAGTATGAGACCAGTATGAGAGCACCATGAGACCAGTATGAGACCAGTATAAGAGCACCATGAGACCAGTATGAGACCAGAATGAGACCAGTATGAGACCACCATGAGACCAGTATGAGACCAGTATGAGACCAGTATGAAACCAGTGTGAGACCAGTATGAGACCAGTATGAGACCAGTATGAGACCAGTTTGAGACCAGTATGAGACCAGAATGAGACCAGTATGAGACCAGTATGAGACCAGTGTGAGACCAGTATGAGACCACCATGAGACCAGTATGAGACCAGTATGAGACCAGTATGAGACCAGTATGAGACCAGTTTGAGACCAGTATGAGACCAGAATGAGACCAGTATGAGACCAGTATGAGACCAGTATGAGACCAGTATGAGACCAGTATGAGAACAGTTTGAGACCAGTATGAGACCAGTATGAGACCAGTATGAGACCAGAAAGAGAGCACCATGAGACCAGTATGAGAGCACCATGAGACCAGTATGAAACCAGTGTGAGACCAGTATGAGACCAGAATGAGACCAGTATGAGACCAGAATGAGACCAGTATGAGACCAGAATGAGACCAGTATGAGAGGCCTCTGATGGATCAGAGCTTTGAGCAGAAAACATGTTTTTCGGATTCTGTCAAGTATGTATTAACTTACATAAGTATTTTTGTATTATTATTATTTTATGTAGTATTTCATGTATTTTATTTATCTATTCATTTTTTATTTTTTAATGTATTAATTTTTTTATAATTATTTCGTATTGATATATTATTTTCTTTTGTTAATTGTTTTATGTATTTATTTGACATTGGACCAGATGCATGGCCTTTAGCATCATAATAAGACCATGCTAGTTTTCAACACAGAAATGCACACAAATACATA